ATAGTGCCTATCCTGCGTTTGCTAATCAAGAACTAGGACTCCCCGGTTAGTGTGCCCGCCGCTTATTAAGCCCAATTTGTTCTGGGCCCGATATGGGCTTAATAACCGGCGGCCACTGTACCAATATAGTAGGCCAAGATATGGCAGGTGTCCATTAATGGAAACTATAAGAAAATATAGACTAGTATTGAAATATTTGCATATCAAGATGAGTCACAGTACATTTCAGAACAGAAAGGCGTCGGAGCACAGCAATGAGAGCGCGCAAAGTCGCAATCGATTTTTCGCCATAGCTGATTGGTCCATTGTCGCCAACTCTCCCTCATCAAGCTGACTGAATAAATACCCCACAGCCTTTTGTAAGAGTGACTTGCTTGACTTGCACTGTGTGAATACACTTCCCTTCTTGGACGATTGACTTCTCTTGATTCTCTCTTGCTGGCGTTCGGGGGAACAGCTGGAGTAACTCAGAGTTAGTGCTAATTGCAAGTACGAGGCGCGGGTCTTAACAAAGAGACTTAATCGGCATGACTTAAAACAGCACGGATCGAGAGGCTGGCTGCTAACTGGCCGAACGGCATCTCGCGCGCTTATGTTCGGCGGGCCACAAACATAAATTCAAGAAAGTTTTTAATAGTCTTGTACAGACCGTTTTGGCCAGTCTCCAAGAGCCCTCACGTAAACGTGGCGTGTGGTTCTGTTGCTTTTTTATGTCTCCGACGTATACCTCATCATTAGCCTCATAATATGTTGTCTGTCGCCCTCGACGGTGATCACTGCTACCTTTGGGGTGGCTTGGAGTTATAGGGAAATGTGTTGGAATCACTTAAAAGTATTTCACATTGGACTGAAGCCTGACCTTTCAAACCAGTTTGGAGTTGTTACAACGACCAACTTTCGAGGTCGCCCCTTGCGACTGCGCGGTCAGCAGGCAGAGCTGGATGTGCGCAAGTTTGCCTTCTATGACGTAAGAGTGGTTAAGCCATTGATTGACCCCCCCACAGAGGTTGGATTTCACCATAAATTAAAAGCTTTAGAGGGAACCCTGACAGATTTATGTTCCAACAAAAGGAGCCGAAACGATGAAACTCGCGCAAAAATTGCCTCCCTTTTATGGTCTCATTGCAACCCAAGTAATTTATCTGTACACTGCACCCAATTTTTCGTTGCAAATATGGTACTCAAAGTTTCATAGGTAATTCCTACGATGAATTAAACTGGACTGAAGATGGGTTGGGTCGTTGTGAGGAGAACTTGTGTAGCATCGGTCTTAATCTGTATGTTGGGGTCACACGATATGCCATACTGGTACTAACAATAGCTGCTAAAAGTCCCGGACAAGTGGTTCACCGATATTCTGTCGTTGTACAGCACAGCTGCGAGAGAGTCGGCTCACCAATGGGTCCCCCACGTCCTCAGAAACTAATCTTTAACTGTTTAGTTCACGGTTTATGGACGCAGACTGAAAGTTGGTAAGAATATTTGGGTGAGCGTCCATCAGTCACAGCAGGATTAATTTCGGAGGAAATTGAAAAGCAACGATTTCACATCTGCAGTATTTACCAGAAAACACAGGGGGAATGTTGGGGAAACCACCGTTTGGCAAAAGTAGCTTATGTAGGCACACTCATATACCCCTAGTCCCAGCATTTTGCCCTGCAAAAACGGTGGTCATAGAGTTTTCGGGGGTGGGGAAATAGGATAGGCAGAGAAGGAAACTTCTAGAAGTAAGTGTTGAGTAAAAAAATGTAGTCGAAGTTGCTTCCCGCGGCCGCTGGGAGTAAGTTCTTCCGCATGTAAAATGAAAGTGTGCGCGGCGGACTATACTAATCTAACTCCAGAACTGAAAGTTAGACCTCAGGTAAGTG